GGCCGTAAGCCCGCTCCGCCCGCCGAGCCATCCACCTCCGCTGTTCCTCGCTGAGGGCGCCCGCCAACGAGTGCTGCCCCTCCCCCGCCTGCGCCTCCGGCCAAGCGGGCGCGGCGTTCACCTCGAAAGCAGGCAGCCCCTCCTGCCCAGGGCGCCGTTAAGTCCGGTAAACGGACCGCGAAGCGTCCCTGAGACAGGCCATCCGGAGAAGAGGAAACTTGCTCTTTCCCCGCTGGAGGGCGGGGCCCCGATAACAACGGTACTTTTCAGTGCCACCAAAACATCAGTAAAAGAGCACTTTTTCCCTTCCCCGGATGTGACTGCACGAGTTCTGCCAGTCCGGGACGCGCTGCCTTCCGGCTCGCAGACTCTACGTGCTTCGCCAGTGGCTCACGAGCGCTGGGGGGACGGTCTGCCTTCCCTCAGCCCTCCAGCCCCCTCTCCGGAGTCAGGGTGCGGAGCCAGAGCGAATCGCTCTCCTCCAGCTCTTCCGCGGGACCCTCGTGCTTCCCGGATCAGCACACCCACTCCGCGCTGCCCCACCGCTGGTACGTCAGCGATTGTAGCGATGACTCCATTAGCGAGGGCTCTGCCTGCCTGGTTAGCGCCGGCCAGCCCCTCGCGGTGGCTCATACGCACAATCAGACTCGGTTACGCGATTCAGTTCGCGAAACGGCCCCCCAAGTTTACGGGTGTGTATTTCTCCAGGGTCAACCCCCTGTCCGCCCCTGTCTTGCGAGAGGAGATTGCTGCCCTCCTGGCGAAGGGTGCAATCGAGCCGGTTCCTCCAGCCGAGATGGAGAGTGGGTTTTACAGCCCATACTTCATCGTACCCAAAAAGAGCGGTGGGTCACGGCCAATCCTAGATCTGCACGTTTTGAACCGCTGTCTGCACAGGCTGCCGTTCAGAATGCTCACGCAGAGGCGCATTCTCCAATGCGTTCGTCCTCAGGATTGGTTTGCAGCCATAGACCTGAAGGACGCGTATTTCCATGTCTCCATTCTTCCACGCCACCGCCAATTTCTGCGGTTTGCGTTCGAGGGTCGAGCGTGGCAGTACAAGGTCCTCCCCTTCGGGCTCTCTCTGTCTCCGCGGGTCTTCACCAAACTCGCGGAGGGTGCCCTCGCGGGCATTCGCATGCTCAATTATCTCGACGACTGGCTGATTTTAGCCCACTCGCGGGAGCAATTGATTATGCACAGGGACAAGGTGCTTCGGCATCTCCGCCTACTGGGGCTTCAGGTCAACCAAGAAAAGAGCAAACTCGCCCCCGTGCAGAGGATTTCTTTTCTCGGGATGGAGCTGGACTCGATCACCATGGTAGCGCACCTCTCCGAGGAACGCGCTCGCCTGTTGCTGAACTGTCTGAGGGAGCTCGACAGCAAACTAGTGGTCCCACTGAAGTTCTTTCAGAGGCTCCTGGGGCATATGGCATCCGCAGCCGCCGTCACGCCGCTCGGGTTGCTCCATATGAGACCACTTCAGCACTGGCTTCACGATCGGGTCCCCAGACGCGCATGGCACGCGGGCACACACCGGGTCTCGGTTACTGCGCTGTGTCGCCGCGCCCTCAGCCCTTGGAACGACCCCTCGTTCCTACAGGCCGGTGTGCCTCTAGGACTGGCGTCCAGCCATGTTGTTGTTTCAACAGACGCTTCCAACACGGGTTGGGGGGCCGTGTGTCGCGGGCATGCGGCTGCGGGCCTCTGGAAGGGTGCCCAGCTGCATTGGCATATCAATCGCCTAGAGCTGTTGGCAGTGTTCCTCGCTCTCCACCGCTTTTTACCGGTGCTGGAGCGGCAACACGTGCTGGTCAGGACGGACAGTATGGCGGCGGCGGCGTATATCAACCGCATGGGGGTATGCGCTCTCGCCGCATGTCTCAGCTCGCCCGCCGTCTGCTCCTCTGGAGTCACCCGCGGCTGAAATCGCTGCGCGCCATTCACGTCCCAGGCACGCTCAATCGTGCAGCCGATGCGCTCTCACGACAGCTGTTACGTCCTGGAGAATGGAGACTCCACCCCGAGTCTGTTCAGCTGATATGGGCGCGATTCGGGGAGGCCCAGATCGATCTGTTTGCTTCCCCCGAGAACGCTCACTGCCAGTTGTTTTTTTCCCTGACCGAGGGCTCTCTCGGCACGGATGCACTGGCCCACAGCTGGCCTCGGGGCATGCGCAAGTATGCGTTTCCCCCAGTGAGCCTGCTCGCGCAGTTTCTGTGCAAGGTCAGGGAGGACGAGGAACAGGTTCTGCTAGTTGCGCCCCTTTGGCCCAACCGGACCTGGATATCAGAGCTCTCACTCCTCGCGACGGCCCTCCCCTGGCGGATCCCTTTGAGAGAGGACCTACTCTCTCAGGGACAGGGCACCATCTGGCACCCTCGCCCCGATCTTTGGAACCTCCACGTGTGGTCCCTAGACGCGAGGAAGACTTAGGTAACCTACCGACTGCGGTGGTTAATACCATCACTCAGGCTAGAGCCCCCTCCACGAGGCGCGCCTACGCCCTGAAGTGGAGTCTATTCACTGAATGGTGCGTCTCTCGCAGAGAAGACCCCCGAAATTGCCAGATTAGTGTTGTGCTCTCTTTCCTTCAAGAGAAGTTGGACAGCAGGCTGTCGCCCTCCACTCTCAAGGTTTACGTGGCCGCCATCTCTGCTTATCATAGCGCGGTAGCTGGCAGCACCGTGGGAAAGCATAACCTGGTCATCCAGTTCCTTAGGGGTGCTAGGCGAATTAATCCATCTCGCCCCCCTCTCATGCCCTCTTGGGATCTCGCCCTCGTTCTCACGAGTCTGCGATCCGATCCCTTTGAGCCACTCGAATCAGTATCTCTAAGATTTCTGTCCCTGAAGACAGCTCTGCTGGTTGCGTTGGCCTCCATCAAGAGGGTCGGGGACCTGGAGGCATTTTCGGTCAGTGACTCGTGCCTGGAATTCGGGCCGGATTACTCTCACGTCATCCTGAGACCCCGCCCCGGTTATGTGCCCAAGGTTCCTACCACCCCCTTTAGAGATCAGGTAGTGAACCTGCAAGCGCTGCCCCCGGAGGAGGCAGACCCAGCCCTTTCTTTACTTTGTCCAGTTCGCGCTCTGCGCATTTATGTGGACCGTACTCAGAATTTTAGATCATCTGAGCAGCTCTTTGTCTGTTATGGCGGTCGGCAGCAGGGAAGTGCCGTATCGAAACAAAGATTATCCCACTGGATTGTGGATGCCATTTCACTCGCTTATTCGAGTTGAGGTCAGCCGTGTCCCCCGGGAGTTCGTGCACACTCCACTCGGAGCCTTGCATCCTCTTGGGCGCGTGCACGCGGCGCCTCTCTAACAGACATCTGTAGAGCTGCGGGCTGGGCGACACCCAACACATTTGCAAGGTTTTACAATCTGCGAGTGGAGCCGGTTTCCTCAAGGGTATTAGGTAACCCTTTGGTGATTGAGGAGACAACTCGGTAGGGTGTTGAAACACGCTTGCTGCGCCATTCTCCCTAACACGGAGGTACGTGCGCCTTTTTTATCTGTCAGTAAAGTTCCCCGTCAGGTGAGCCCTGCAGATTCCTCCGTGGCCCCCAGCACTGACTCAGCGGAGGAGTCACTTGCTGGCCCACTACGTTGTAGGTCTGCCCGCTGGTCAGCCCGCGTTTTGGGTATAGGTGCCTGCTATGCGTGATCCCCACTAGGCGATCCCATATGCTTATTCCGCCACGGTTAAGTCCCCCCCCTGGGCGGACCCGTGTCTTCCCTCTCCGCTAACCACTCTTTTGCTATGCGTACTCCCCCTTTTTAGGGCTAGTCCATATGTAAATTCTGCCATCTATCTCCCCCCTTGGGTAACGGATGGCCTCCGCAGCGTCCTCCCTATCGGGATTGCACGCTTCCCAACGTACTGTCGTATTTCCTAGAATTATCTAGATGCTCACGACTTCCCAAAAAATATATCTAAATCCGTAAAACTTCTGTTGAAGTAGGATAAATTAGGGCCAGGGACACGTTGGAGGACCGCGCCCCCCATGATGTGGGTGCGTCACGCTTGCTTGACTATCTCCTCATCGGGGGTGTTGGTAAGGTGCAGTCATTATGGCGCTTTCAATGGGCTCCCAATGCGTGGATTTTACAAATCAAATCCACTTATAGTGCTGAAGTTCCCCCCGAAGGGGAACGTTCGAGGTTACTAAAGTAACCCTTCGTTCCCCGAGGAGGGGAACGGAAGCACTATACTCCGTCGCCATAATGACTGTCCCTTAGCTGTTTGAAAGTCTCTTCAGCTTAAAAGGATGGCGTCTGCTGGCTTCAGGTGTGCTTATATGCTGAGATAATTGCAGATGTCGCACACCTGCGCAAGCTTACGCTGCCAATTAATTTCATTCATTGGCCCGTTCAATACTCTCCAGACAAGCGGCTTCTGATCCGAATCCTCCCAATGCGTGGATTTTACAAATCAAATCCACTTATAGTGCTGAAGTTCCCCTCCTCGGGGAACGAAGGGTTACTTTAGTAACCTCGAACGTTCTGTTGTTCTAAATATAAACGTTTATTATTACGCTAATGTTAGAAATTAGCTTGACATCAATAGTTGATGGGGATTTACGCGAGTATACAGTAATATTTTAACCACATCTAAATCATTACCTTTTCTCATATTCATTTGTTTAGTAGATGCTTTGGTGTTGCAATTTCAGAAAATCACGTAATTTAAGAAAAAACATGGCATTTCAATATTAATTTTTTTTTTTCCTGAGAATGTGTTTGGTTTAGACCTGTCGTGGACAAATAAAGATCTTAAACCTACAATATCGAAGAAGTGTCAAGTCTTTTTAAAGGTCTTTTTGAATCAAAACAACAATTCAATTCAAACTGTTTGTGATTCACACAGCTGATTCATTTAGAAGCAAAGCAGTTAACTATAGGAATGTATCACTGATTCAGTCGATTCATTCATTCATTCAAAAAAAAAAATTGTTGTTGAAACACATTTTTGACTCCTTTTTTTATGTTTTTCAGATGCGTGGTGTTCAATAACAGAGGCGTATCGGGTGAAAAGTTATTGGTAAGGATAATCTTTTATATCTCTTCTGATTTCTCCTCAATAAAATAATTTCGGCTTCATTGTCATGTTGACACACACTGCTGTCAGCATGAATATCAAAACAGTCAAATTCAGACATAATGTCTTTACTAAATGTAAATAACTATTTTAACTTAAACTGTTTAATCAAACACAACTATACAGAGCTTTGATGATAGCTAAGGGGGTATTTGCTTATTTCAATACTATCTTCTCGATAGATACAGTGCATCCGTTCAACATTTTGGAAAAACATGTTACAGCTATATTCCAAAATTGATTAAATTAATTTATTTTCCTTAAAATTCTACACACAATACCCCATAATGACAATGTAAACATTTTTTTTTTAAATTGTTGCAAATTTGTTAAAAATAAAAAACCTAAAAAATCACATGTACATCAGTATTCACAGCCTTTGCTCAATACTGTGATGCACCTTTGGAAGCAATTACAGCCTCAAGTCTTTTTGAATATGATGCCACAAGCTTGACACACCTGTCTTTGGGAATTTTTGCCCAATCCTCTTTGCAGTACCTCCCAAGCTCTATCGGATGGGAAGCAACGGTGTACAGCCATTTTCAAATCTCTCAAGAGATGTTCAATAGGATTTAGATCTGGGCTCTGGCTGGGCCACTCATTGTCTCGGAGGTCTACAGGCAATTCCTTTGTCTTCATGCTTGTTTTGTGCTTTGACATGCACTGTCAACCCTGGGACCTCATATAGACAGGTGTATGCCTTTTCAAATAATGTTCAATCAACTGAATTTACCGCAGGTGAACTCTAATTAAACTGCTGAAACATCTCAAGAATGATCAGTGGAAACAGAATGAGCTCAATTTAGAGCTTCTTGACAAAGGTTGTGAATACTTATGTACATGTGATTTTTCATTTTCATATTAAATAATGTCCTGATGTTTTAAGATTTCAGGATTACAATTCAGTTTCATGTGAGCTTTAAAGAGTGAGAGTCTTTTGAGAGTCTGTTTGTGTGTGTGTGTGTGTGTGTGTGTGTGTGTGTGTGTGTGTGTGTGTGTGTGTGTGTGTGTGTGTGTGTGTGTGTGTGTGTGTGTGTGTGTGTGTGCACTGTTAAAAATTGTCCCGTTAAAAAACAGTAAAATACTGGCAGCTGCAGTTGCCAGCAATGTACTGTTATTTTATAGTATGTTGCTGTAAAAATACATGGACTACATTGATTTACACAATACTCAAGTTAACTCATTTTGCTCACTGAAAGCAACTGCCTCAACTTGGTCAACTGCTGAATGAGTTTATGAAGTAATGTGCTATATATGCTTAGAAGCATACTTATAATGATAACTTATTTTAGTTAATTAGAAAAGTTCGGTTTAACTCTAATGTCTTATTTTTCACAAAAGCACACATACATGTAAATCTGGAATCACCAGAGAGATTCTGACTGCATCAGCAACTAAACAGCCGCTATCTTTAAATAGAGAAACATGCAGAATAACATCAGCAGTTCATTGTTCATCTTTAACTCATACACTGGCTCTACTCTCCTTCACAACGGTGACAGACAGAAGAAATTTGCTTCAGGTTTAACAGTAAAATACTGTTTTTTCCTTGATTTAACGGTAATCTACTGGCAGCTGTGGTTGCCAGCAATCTACTGTTTTTTTACAGTCTATTTCCGTAGTGTAAATTAACAATATATTACTGTTAAAATACATTTTTACACTGTGTTTTTACCTCTCACACCTTTAACCCTTTAAACCCCAGAGCATATACTTCAGTTTTTATTGAAGTGTCCACACTACTGAGTGTTCAAGAAACATGTAGCAAAGCTGAAGTAAATTCATTAATTAACTGACTAATTAAATGATAATTGAGGATTAACAATGAACAAATGAAGAAATACTGAAGGGAAAAAACAAGAACAGAACATACAAAACTTTAGTCACAGCTTTATAATGAAATAACCTGAAGAACAACAAATGATTAAATCATTTAAATGATCAGCGGATGATTAAACAAGTCTACAAACATCATCACCAGCTACACTTATTACTTAATACATGTATTTTTGTATAACATTTACTAAAGTTCTTCTTGAGAAAAAGTTAAAGTTTTACGTCACCATCATGGAGAACAGAGTTTGCTTTAGTTGGGCTCTTAGCCCTGCCATTTTTAACATTTATATATCTTGGCTGCTACAATTGTTAAGAACTTTGTTTAAAAAGCTCCTTTGTTGTGGCATGCCAGCCAAAAACCTAAATGAGATCTGGTAATGTTCATGTTGCTAATAAATGGCAGAGTCTGTTCTCATTTAATATAATAAAATTTACTGCTCCTATTCAATGTTAAATCTATTGTTTTACATTATTTGGCAATGATTTCTGGATGTTTTTAAGAATATCTTGGACAATAACACTGCTCCATGGTGTAAATCGCACTCAAAGAGACATCAATAATCAGCTTATGAACCTCAATAATGGTGACAACTAACAAAATTAACAGTTTAACTCACAAACAGGCAACTGAAAGTCTAAACATAAACAACAGCAGAATCAAACACAAATGAAGAAAACTGTTAGACCATTATACAACATTTATTTATACCGCAATGCATGCTGGGATATTTGTACCGTGCCACTCCCAGCATGCATTGCAGCATGAAACATTTGAGATGTTACCATTGTTGAGATACAAGGTCAGATTCATCAGATATGAGTGTGTATTTGTCATAACTGAACTGTTTTTGTATGCTATTTCTTAACTGTTAAGTAAATACGGAGATATCTTCTCTGTTTCCACTTCTCATTAATTAAATTAATACCTGAAACTAAGCATAAAATCTATTGTATGAGGCCCTTGTTCCAGATTTATAACAAAACATTTATCAGAACTAATTTCAGACAAATAGATTTCTCTATTTATTGACTTTCCAACTTGATTGCTATAATACAAGCATTTTGTTAACTCATTATAGTAATTGGAGAGTCTGAATTAATAAGTTCAAGGGTGAAGAGCCCAACTAAACCAGCCCCTCACTCCATTACGGTGACACAAAAAACACCTTAATTTCTGTTGGATCTCAATGAGAATAGTATGGAAGTCAAATCAGTCAGTAATAAGTGTGTCTGCTGTTGTTTGTGGAGTTGTTTAATGATCCTCTGCTGAGACTGAAGGTGTTTTATTTTATTTGATTTTATTTAATGTTGTAACTCAAGTCACTGTTTGTGTTTCTTGTTTATTTTCTTCAGTAATTGTAATTATTAACAGCAGGTGTTCATCAGTGTCTGAATTCACTCATTAGTGTTCATTAAAACTGTCAGGTGAACTATATTAGTAAACTAGTGTATGAAATAGTGAACAAGGACACAAAGTGTAATTTCAAACACAGACTTCAAAACATCGAATCTGAACTCTGTTAGCTCACAGTTTTCTGCAGTTGGTTACTTTCTCGAAAAAAAAAATGTTACCCAGAAAGCACTGTTTTTAACAGAATATTACTGTTTTAGTGAAAAAACATTATTTTACCGTAGAATCTGACCGTTTTTTAACAGCAATTTTTTACAGTGTGTGTGTGTGTGTGTGTGTGTGATTAAGGATACGAGCCTTCTTTTATATCCTCCTTCCACTGTGCTCTAGACTCCAAGGACTTATTGTGCAGCCAACACAGAGGATCTGGAAGTAGTCATTGAGCATGTCCAGCGGACCATTAACAAAGCTCCGCTCATGGCGGCTGGGGTTTCTATGGGCGGGTGAGTTTAAAACGCACACACTCATGGATTTATCCTGTCCGTATATGGGAATTCAGCTGATATAGTCACACATACTTTGAAAATCTAGGACAATGTTTTTTCCATCTATCCAAACTCTCTACTATAGGCTGTTTGGACTTTGCTACACATTTAACATTACAATTTCAATGATAAGCAAATGTAATATTATTTTTTTTGGGCACACTTTATTTTAAGATACAATTCTTGCTATTAATAAACATTCATCTAAGACTTTGAGCTCAATAAACTACTAATACCACTTATCCAAACTCTCTACTATAGCTTGTTAAGACTTTGCTACACATTTTACATTTAAATTTTAATGATAAGCATATGTAATACTATTTTTTTTGTTCATACTTAATTTTAGGACACAATTCCTGCTAATAATAAACCTTTAGCTAAGGTTTTAATCTCAATAAACTACTAAAACCACCAATCCAAACTCTATTATACATTGTTAGGACTTTGCTACACATTTTACTTTACAATTTCAATGATAAGCAAATGTAATTTTTTTTTGGTCATTCTTTATTTTAAAGGGCACCTATGGTAAAAAAAAATCTACTTTTCAAGCTGTTTGGACAAACATATGTGTAGATTTAGAGTATAGACAGTCATATTGGGGTGATATAAACACACCCAGTTCTTTTTTTTAATTTAACAACATAAAAACGGTGAACCAATTAGAGCGATTTTTAGACCGACCGCAACTTGGCGTAGGAGTGCGGTCCCCCGCCCACCAAATTGATTGACAGCTGCGCGTATTAACATGTCCTGGTAGTCACGTGTATTTACTGTTCGCTAGGATCATCAATCATCATCAAATGTGATCACATGCTTAAAATGCATGTGTATCTGTATGTGTGCGTGTGCGTGAACTGTGTAAAGACATTGTTTGTGATGTTGTTTGTAAAGACATTGTTTGTTAAAGTTCTTACTGTAGTATTTCTCACAAAAGATATGTGAGATCTTCTTCCTTTAAGTCTGTCTGACGCAGCTGAGGGAGGAGATTAAGGCATGCAGAAAGGAACGTAGATACGATCGGCGGGGAGGATTAACCTTAAAAGCGCAGTAGGACAAAACAGCCCCCTGGTGGAAAAATAAGATCTTCTAGGTATAATGAAAATCTGATGGGTGTTTTGAGCTAAAACTTTACATACACATTCTAGAGATGCAAAACACTTATATTAAATCTGAAAAAAGGGGTAACCTAGGTGCCCTTTAAGATACAATTCTTGCTATTAATAAACCTTTAGCTAAGACTTTTAGCTTGCTCAATAAACTACTAATACCACCTATCCAAACTCTCTACTATATGTTGTTAAGACTTTGCTACAAATTTTACATTATAATTTCAATGATAAGCATATGTAATATTATTTTTTGGTCATTCTTTATATTAAGATACAATTCCCGCTATTAATAAACCTTTAACTAATACTTTAAGCTCAATAAACAACTAATACCACCTAGTCAAAGTCTCTACTATAGCTTGATAAGACTTTGCTACATAATTTACATAATAATACAATTTCAGTGATATGCTTACTGTATGTAATATAATTTTTTGTGCATTATTTATTTTAAGGTGCAATTTTCGCTATTAGTAAACATTTAACTAAGACTTTAAGCTCAATAAACTCCTAATACCACCTATTCAATCTCTCTACTATAGCTTGTTAGGACTTTGCTACACATTTTACATTGCTATTTCAATGATATGCATATATAATATTACATTTTTGTTCATTCTTTATTTTAAGAGACTATTCTTGATATTAATAAACCTTTAACTTAGACTTTAGGCTCAATAAACTATTAATTTGCTGCTTATTAATAGTAAATAAAGTTAAGGTATTGGGTAGGATTAAGGATGTGGAATAAGATAAGATCATACATTATAAGTACTAAAAATTAACAAATATCTTAATAATAAGCAGTTAGCACACCAGTTGTTAAAATAAAATGTTTTTTTTAGTCATTTATTACTGTATTGTGTTGCCTTATCATGGATTTATTTCCGTCACGTGATGCAGAAGTAATATTATCCCCTAGATGCCACCACGGCACCATTTCACACTAGATTTAAGTAAAAGCTGAGTGTGCAGTGCAGTTTTGTAATCCTCTCCGTCTTACAGAAAGAAACGGGTCAGCATCACATGGCTTATGCCCAAAAATATAGCAGCCATACATATACAGTACATATAGATCAACTGATTGTTAATGCGTACGCTTGTGCTTTTCATTGCTGTTTTTATAATATCATGACACCCTGCAGGATGATGTTGGCGAACTACCTGGGTCGTAAAGGCTCTGAAGTGCGCTTGAAGGGTGTGGTGGTTTTTTCGGCAGGCTGGGATGTGTTTGAATGCACAGCATCATTGGAGAAACCCCTGGACCGATTTCTCTTCAACTCTTACCTCACCAGCTGCCTGCAGGCGTCCGTGGACCGGTCAGTGGGGTCAGAGGGGGATAAGCCTGTAATGTGTGTGTGCATGAGTGTGTGTGTAGTCACAGGGGATATTATCCCTAAGTGCGCCCCCACCTTCTCTTATTGAGTCTGATGTCGTTTTGAATGTTATAAAATGTGCCAAGTAAGATTAAACTGAATCTGTTACGTATTTTGCTAAAGCACACAGAGTTTGGGAACAGGGAGTAGAAATTAAATGAACATTTTGCACATATGGGGCTTATTTTGCTTTAATTAACTTTTAATCAGCTTATCAACAACTTGCAAAAAAATGACATGGCGGTATCATGGTACTGTGTTGGTGTTTGATATACAGCTCTGGAAAAAAAATAAGATACTGCGTCATAGTTATTATCGATTATCTGACTTTGGCATTTATCACTATGTGTTATGAGTGAGATGGTCATTTGTTTGGGCTTTTTATAATCTACAGAGAACATGTCTTCAAAATAAAAATATTAACATGTAATAAAAAAATATATATTTTAAGGTGATTATTACCCCTTTGAAGCAATATGTTTTTCTGACAAAACAAAACACTGTTACACAATAACTTGTCTATTTACCATAACTTACCTGATTAACCAAGTTAAGCCTTTAAAGTGTACTTTAAGCTAAATGCTAATATTTTGAAGAATGTTTATTAATTAACTTTATGTATCATCATCATGGCACAAGTAAAAAAAAATCAGGTATTATAAATGAGTTATTAAAACTATTGTTTAGAAATGTAACGTAAAATGGGAGAAAAATAAACTTGGGGCTAATAATTCAGACGAATTAATAATTTTAGATTGATGCATGCCTAATATTAGATGGCCAGAAAGTGTGTGTGTGTGTATGTATATATATATATATATATATATATATATATATATATATACATATACATACATATATATATATATATATATATATATATATATATATATATATATATATATATATATATATATACATATATATAAATAAAGTGTTTTACATCAAAAGTCGATAGAGCAGAGATCAAGGTCCTATAATGCAATTCATTGTAAATAAACAGAAAACACTTTTGAATCAAAACCTGTTAATTAACAGATTTACAATGTAGATATATGATGGGGTGCACAAACTTTTTCTTATAAAGGGCCAAAACTTGATTGAGGCGTGGTGGGCTAAGGCTAAATACACCTAACTGTATTACATTAAAGCTGCCTTGGTAACTTCCTAATTTAATAATATAAAAAAATAGAAAAAATACTTTAATCGTATCAATAATTATAGATATATTTAACATTTTATAATGTACTTCTTACAATAAAACATAATGGGGTTTAGTAATAACATAATGGAGACCAATGTTTTTTTCTTATTTATTTACTAAAACAACAACGTCCCACACATATATCACACATATATATATATGTCAAAATCTGAAAAAAAAGTGTTTTAGGCTTTCATGACCCTTTAAAAATCTGATTAATTTACATTCAATTAAAACATTTATTTTCAGTTGTGCTTTTTTTTGTTGCTCAGCAATTAATCAAACAAACAAAAGGTTATGTAAACAATTATGTAATAAATATATAAGTAATTTGCCCCAACCTTCCCCATCATTTGTCTCTTTTCTCTGATTGGTTGGTGGGCTAAAGGTTACCATGGGCCAACTTTGGCCCTCTGGCCTTAGTTTGGGCATCTCTGATACAGATGCATGAAAAACCTGAAAAGCACTGTTTATATTAATATTATCTTTGCCATATTATAGTCATTTTTGGATTATATTTAGCTTGTAGAGTATTTTTATTTGTATTTTTATTTGACAGTGCTCTTTACTGAATGTATTTACTAAATCTGTGACCAAAAACCCTGAAAGGTGTGTATTGTTGCAGCTTTATATTCACTGAGAGCAAATGAGTTTATGTTCCACTGAAAAAAAAACATTGTTCAGGGAAGACATTAATATAGATTTAATAAGAGCATAAAAAGCTAATTACAAAGATGAAAATAAATCAAGTGTATCCTCTGTCTTTGTGTTTTGCTATTCAACAATTTAAAAGCTCATTCATAACTATAAAAAATTTACTCCTAGACAAAAAAAAATTGGGTTTGACCATATTTGACCAGATTTTCATTCTATGTCACCTTTAAATATCAAATGTCACAATTATTATACTTGTTGAGATTGCCTCATACCTCATTGTGACACTTCATGTTTTGATTCGACAGTCACAGAACCATTCTTGAAAAGAAATACGACATAGACCATGTGATGAAGGTGAGTTATTTATTCTGACTCGTCACGTTTTTTGTTACAACATGTTAATGTGTTTTGTATTATTCTTGTGCTGTTTTTGACTTTCTTTATGCGTTCCACAGGCTAAAACTATACGAGAGTTTGATGAACGTTTCACGTCCATCATGTTTGGTTATCCATCCAATGATGACTACTATAGAGACGCTAGCCCGATTCACAAGATCAAGTCTGTGCAGGTGCCAATGCTGTGCCTCAACGCAGCTGATGATGTCTTTTCCCCCAATCACGGTGAGTCGGCCAGCAGAGCGTTTATCAAACAATGACATACTGTAACTTACGGCTGGCCTACAAAAGTTTGTTTGTAGTTTGTTTGTAGTGTTTCCTGAACTCTGTCAGAGATCCATCGTTTGAACCATGTTAGTTAAGACATAATAATGTCTTTAGATAAAATCTGTTAACACATGATTTATATATATTTATATTTTATAAAATATATATTAGTAGAACATTTATTTTTTCCCTCAATTTCTGTTTAACGGAGAGATTTTCTCAACACATTTCTAATCAAAATAGTTTTAATAACACATCTGTAATAACTGGTTTATTTTGTCTTTGTGATGATGACAATAAATAATATTTGACTAGATATTTTTCAAGAAACTTCTATATAGCTTAAAAGTGACATTTAAAGGCTTAACTAGGTAATTAGGTTAACCAGGCAGCTTAGAGTAATTAGGCAAGTTTTTGTATAATGATGGTATGTTCTGTAGAATATCAAAAAATATATAGCTTAAAGGGGCTAATAATTTCGTCCCCCAAAAAATGTATTTAAAAAAATTAAAAACTGCTTTTATTCTAGCAGAAATAAAGCAAATAAGACTTTCTCCATAAGAAAAAACATTATCAGACATACTGTAAAAATTTCCTTGCTCTGTTAAACATGATTTGGGAAATACTTAAAAACGAAAAAAAAAAAAATGAGTTACACTCATCATATTAATATAAATAATGATAATAATAATGATGATAATAATAATAATAATAATAATAATAATATGTATTAAAAATTGTTTGTTTCCGTAGGTGTATAATTTTCCATGCATTCTTAAAGGGTTTACAAAAAAATTAAACTTGTATCAAACCTTTATGAGTTTCTTTCTTCTGTTGAACACAAAAGAAGATAATTTAAAAATTGTTGGAATTCCAGATGACCGTTGATTTCCATAATGTCTGTTTTTTCTACTATGGGTGCCATTGGTCACAGGTTTCCAACATTTTTTTCAACAGAAGAAAGAAATTCATAAAGGTTTGGAACCACTTGATGGGGAGTTAATAGTGAGTAAATTTTTATTTTTGGGTGAACTATACCTTTAAATGAAGCTCTTAATGAACCCTAATATACAGTTAAAATCAGAATTATTTGCCCCCTGAATTATCAGTCCCCTTGTTTATTTTTTTCCCCAATTTGTGTTTAACGGAAAGAAGATTTTTTTTCAGCACATTTCTAAACATAACAGTTTTAATAACTCATCTCTAATAACTGATTTATTTTATCTTTACCATGATGATAGTAAATAATATTTGGCTAGAAATTTTTCAAGACACTTCTATACAGCTTAAAGTGACATTTAAAGGCTTAAATAGGGTAATTAGGTTAACTAGGCAGGTTAGGGTAATTAGGGAAGTTTTTGTATAATGATGTTTTTTTTTTTTTTATTTATTTATTTATGTAGATTATGGAAAGAAACTGTTTTTATTCTAGCCGAACTGAAACAAATGAGTTTCTCCAGAAGAAAAAAGAAAATATTATTAGACATTCTGTGAAAATTTCCTTGCTTTGTTAAACATCATTTGGGAAATATTTAAAAAAAGAAAAAATAATCTAAGGGGGACTAATAATTTTGACTTCAACTGAATGTTAATAAATTTATAAATAAAACACTAATATATAATAAGGGACCAAGCCAAAAAAAAATGAATGAATATATATATATTGAATTAATTACTAAAACACTATAGATGGGGTGACGCAGTGGCGCAGTAGGTAGTGCTATTGCCTCACAGCAAGAAGGTCGCTGGTTCGAGCCTCGGCTGGGTCAGCTAACGTTTCTGTGTGGAGTTTGCATGTTCTCCCTGCGTTCGTGTGGGTTTCCTCCAGGTGCTTCGGTTTCCCCCACAGTTTAAACACATGCGGTGCAGGTGAATTCGGTAGGCCATAGTGTATGTGTGTGTGAATGAGTGTGTATGGATGTTTACCAGTGATGGGTTGCAGCTGGAAGGGCATCCACTGCATAAAACATATGCTGGATAAGTTGGCGGTTCATTCTGCTGTGGCTACCCCAGATTAATAAAGGGACTAAGCCGAAAATAAAATAAATGAATGAATGAACACTATAAATGTTTCATATATGGAAAGTAAAGATACACTTTTAATATAAATGAATACTGTTAATCTTTATTTTTTGTTTTCGCAAGCTTTGAAAAATGTAATAGAAATCCACTTGTAAATCTTAAAAGTCACCGTCTTCATGAGCCATAGCTGCAACAAAATGGCATATTTTTTTTCCATAGTGCACTACAAGGGGATCACACTTGAGCCATTTTGCAGTTTTACAGAGATTTCATTAGTTCGATTTTAAATCTGCTGCTTTGGTAATAGGCAATGCCTCTGTAGCTCCGCCCTCTTTTAAAAAGCACTCATTTGAATTTAAAGGAACTGTCACCAAGCAGCATCATTTGGATCACAGAGTTCAAAGAGTTAAAACTAACCCTTTATATTTTGAACTGAAACTTCACATACACACTCTAGGGACATCAGAGACTTATTGTTTAAATCTTGTAAAAAAAGGGGGCAAAATCAGTGCCCTTTAAGCTTTGTAATGAAAGAAACTTACATTTGGGCCATTTTTTTTTTTTTGCTTAGCTATTCCAGTGGAGGCCGTGAAGCAGAACCCCAATGTGGCCCTCCTCATCACCTGTCATGGTGGCCATATTGGCTTCCTGGAGGGTCTGTGGCCTCGGCAGAGCACCTACATGGACCGCGTTTTTCGTCAGTTCACCAAGGCTGTGTTTGAGAATGGCAATGGTCTGGATGATCTCTACTGACCCTCTCATTCCATTCCCTCAACAGAACAGCTGTGAGCAAAAAAAAAAAAAATTATTCATTTCCAAAATGACAGGCACAGGTTCACTTGAAGGCCAGAATAGTTTTTTTTAAGTCTAGTCATATATTTATTGAATTATTTTAGTAGTGTTTTAACTTTTTGATTTTCATTTATTGAACAAAAATGATTCTTTGACTTGCACATTTGTTCATCCGTCCATCAGTGCACTTATTTGTTTCTAAGCTGCATTCATCTGTGACTTGCATGCGTGTGTATGACTCTCTTAATTATGTAATTTTATATATGCTTTAACTCTGAAGGGCATGATAAACCATCCAACCAACTGAAGCACTTATTTAGATGACATTACTCAACATTATGTGGAGAAGTGTACTAAATCAAAATGAACCTAAATCAAATCAGCACTAAAGAAAAATAAAAAATAAGAATATGTAGCTGCAGAAAGAAAATGAAGCCTAATTTAGAATAACTTCATTACTGTAATGCAAAATAGTCTCGTTCCTGTTTCATAATGCAGTGCTAAGTATCATCGTGGATATATTTATGGAATATGGGCGACATGGTGGCTCAGTGGTTAGCACTGCCACCTCACAGCAAGAGGGTCACTGGTTTGAGTCCCAACTGAGTCAGTTGGCATTTCTGTGTGGAGTTTGCATGTTCTCCCCATGTTGGCATGGGTTTCCTCCACAGTCTAAAGACATGTGCTATAGGTGAATTGAATAAACTAAATTGGTCGTAGTGTATGTGTATGAATGAGGGTGTAAGGATGTTTCCCAGTACTGGGTTGCAGCTGGAAGGGCATTCCCTGTGTAAAATATATGCTGGATAGGTTGCAGCGACCCCTGATGATTAAGGGGACTAAGCTGACGGAAAGGGAATAAATTAATAAATACACTGTCAAACCCAAATGTTAAGGTAATTCAAACCATTTGAGCAAACCGATTGCTACAAACCATTTGTTCAAAAACTTATCCTAATGAGAACTGTGAACTTAATCTATTTGAGTAAACGAAGCAATTTGAGCACAGTAACCCCTGATTAATGAAGAGAACTCAAACTAAGTACTGTAAAACCCAGTAAGTTAAGGCAAATCAAACCGTTTGAGAAAACCAATTGCAGCAAACCACTTGAGTTAAGCTAATTTATATGAGTACTTACTCCATTTAAGTTGAAGTAATGAGGTATTTAATTAACTCTTTGCCTTCAACACTGAGTTAAAAACTCTTTTCAAATGAGTAAAATTTACTTTCAGTACATTTTGAGTTAACTACTCTCATTTTATTTGATAAAGTTGACTGTTGGGTTTTACAGCGTATTTGTAGAATTATTCCTCCAAAATGACTTTACTCATCCTCTACATGTTTTAAACCTATTTGAGTTTCTTGTGGTCAACACAAATAAGATATTTTGAGGAATGTTTGGTAACCGGGAGCTATTTTCTTTCATAGTATTATAAAAGTAACTGGCTATCAGTTACCAACATTTTTTAAAACATAATCTTTTGCATTTACCAGAAAAAGAAACCGCATGAGGGTGAGTAAATGGTTTATTTTTGGGTGTACTATCTTTTAAGATAATATATATCAAAATAGTATCAGGGTGGCCCAGTGGCTCATGGTTAACACTATCGCCTCACAGCAAGAAGTGTGCTGGTTCGAGCCCAAGCTGGACCAATTGGCATTTCTGTGTGGAGGTGTGCTGATTCGAGCCCCGGCTGGGCCAATTGTCATTTCTGTGTTGAGTTTGAGTATTTTTTTCCATGTCCACATGGGTTTGCTCTGATTTCCCTCACAGTCCAAATGCATATGCTATAGGTGAATTGAATGTATGTATGGGTGTTTTCCATTGTTGGGTTGCGGCTGGAAGGGCATCTGCTGCGTAAAACATATGCTGAATATGTTGGCGGTTCATTCCATTGTGGCGACCCCTGATTAATAAATGATTAAGCCAATAAGAAAATGATTGATCGAATGTCCAAAGTGTGTGAATGCCAGAGTGTATGGGTGGAAGGGCATCCGCTGCGTAAAACATGTGTTGGATAAGTTGGTGGTTCATTCCGCTGTGACGATCCCTGATTTAAAAAAAGGATTAAGCCAAAGGAAAATAAATAAATCAATGAAAATAATATTAGCGAAATATTTACAATTGAAGTTTTTTATGAAAAGATTTTTGGTTAGTCAGGGTGGTAAATATATCTTTTAGGCCATTTAGTTTTTAAAACATGGAACCTCCAAAGGAACAGAATTTATCAGAAAAAAAACATAAGAGCTTCTTTAATTGTCATTAAATAAAGAAAAAAATAAAGAAAACAGCTCAATACCTTTGTTAATAGATTTAGTCAAATTGCACTATATCAAATTGTGATTGTAGCCGTGAAGGTCAAGGGCATTTGTGCAGTTGTTTTTAATTATAAAAAAGGATTTCACCTAAACTCTTCCAAAAAAAAAAAAAAAAACGATGCAGTGAAGCAAGGAGGTCATATTCCAGCTCCACTTTTACCTTCTTATGTAAACATAAAAGATTAATTCAGTGTTTATCATACCATGTTTGACCTCCTACATGTCAATGACCATTTATCCTAGCAGTTGATATGCTGCACCAAGGCCTTATCAGTTTGGTCCATTCTAGTGTTAAAAGGAAGCTTTATATATTATTATCCGTATTTTCACCATGTATCTTACATGTCTGTTGTTTTGTAGCCCTCAGGACTGACCCCAATTTCTCTTTTTTGTTTGAGTTTCATGTAAGTGTCATGTTAGTTTGCATTTTTAAGGCAAGAAAAGATTGTATTTACCATATCACGGTTTTTAAGTTTCCAAAAGAATGTACCACACGCACTTTGTTTCTCATTCATTACTTCAATGTTGACACTGACTACTTTGTGAACGATAAATGAATCATTTTGACTTGGAATGTGAAATTTGTTGTTGTTGATGGCATTAAACCTGTGGAGGTAAAGTGTGTTATTTTGGACTTAACGAAAGTGGCTTCAAGGATTCTGTGAATGTGAAAACGACTTGAGCTACTGTTTGTCTGAACATTGTAAAATATGTTACATGCTTTTAATATATGCTTTAAATTCACTTAAGACTCAAAATGCTTTTTATATTAATGCGCCAATGAATTCTTAAAGAGATAGTTCACCCTGAACTGAACATGTACGATGTACCTCAGACTTTTTTTTTCCTACAGTAGAACATCGAAGTACATTTTTGCTGAAACTCTGGTCTTTGGTAATTCACAGATTGTCAGTCAGTAAATACCATCGGCACTTTAAGAGTCAAACAATCATGAATATGCAGGATATTTTATTTGTGACATTACCCAGCAGGCACACAATGTCATATGATACTCTAGGTAGTTGGTTATATATTGGTTGCGACTTCTTAACGTCATAATGTGATGTTCATACAACGCCAAAGTCTAACATCAATATGCGCTGATCTTTGGTTTTTATTTGTGGCATTAACTAACAAAAATTCTAAATCATATTAACATCATAATGTGAGGTCCATACAATGTCAAAGTGTAACATCAGTAGACGCTGATCTTTGGTTGGTTTTAGGTTGTGGAACTAACCAACCAAAGTTTAACATCATCTTAACATCATAATGTGATGTCCAGATAACGTCAGAGTTTAACATCAGTAGACGCTGATCTTTGGTTGGTTTTAGGTTGTGGAATTAACCAACCTTAGTTTAATGCCGTTTTACCATCATTATGTGACATCCATATGACGTTAAAATGTAACAATGGTAGACATTGATCTTTCGTTGGGTTGAGGTTGTGGAATTAACAAACCAAAGTCCAACATCATATTAACGGTATAATGGGATTTCCATACAATGCCAGTGTAACATCAGTCGACGCCGATCTTTAGTTGGTTTAAGGTTGTGGAATTAACCAACCAAAGTCCAACGTCAACATAACGTCATATTTTGATTTTCGTATAACGTCAAAGTCTGACATCAGTAGACCCTGATCTTTGCTTGGTTTAAATTTGTGGCATTAACTAACCAAAATCTAAAATCATATTAACGTTAAAATGTGATGTCCATACAGATGTTGATCTTTGGTTGGTTTTAGGTTGTGAAACTTACCAACCAAAGTCCAACGTCATCTTAATGCCATAATGTGATGTCTATTCAATTTCAAAGTGTAACAAAAGTAGATGTTGATCTTTGGTTGGTTTTAGGTTGTGGAATTAACCAGCTAAAATTGTACAATGTCAATCTAATGTTCTGTGCCTGCAGGCTACACTGAGGTCTTAAAATTTACAAATTAAGCTTATGCACAGAACTGGAATATTGCATTTCTATAAACATTTGCAAAAAAAGCACTATTTTCATCCAAAAAAAAAGCAAATACAACAAAACGGTCCCTTCCTAATAAATTGGCACCAAATATCAAAAAGAAAAATGGAATTTTACTTATGGTAGGAGAAGCCACTGTGGGCCTTTTTCTTATATAATAAATTACTTGCACCTCAGAAGACAAAAACGAAATTAACTGAATGAAATTATAATTGGTTTTTGGAGGCTCGAGACTACTCTTTAGGAGTTCAGTCTCTCAAATAGTTCTGCTAGATGATAATACTGAACCACTTTAAAGAGAGACCTAAAGCTAAAAAGTCATTTTAGAATGTTTAGACCAAAACAACATTTCAGATATCGGGCAATGTGGTTTGACCACTAGTTTGTCTATTAATGGCATTCCATTGTGCCCCAGATTTGACAGAAAGTGAAGTTTATCTATAAACAAATTTCGAGAGAATCACATGCTTATGATTGTTCACAGCTGTTCCAACTTTAGCTAATGACTGATTATCCTATCAGACGATCCTTAACTCAATATAAATAACCAGACTTTTCTCATCTTAATATCTTTGTCTTGAAGAAACCCTCCCACCCAACCCTACTTTTCCTCCTTTCAAACAGGTGACACGGTGGCCAGTGATTAGCGCTATTGCCTCACAGCAAGAATGCCAGTGGTTTAATTCCCTTTCAAACCAGGCAACATTTCTGTGCGGAGT